AGGGGACATTTGGAGAAAAACTGACCTGAAGTGAAACTAACAGCTGCTTTAAAACCACAGAAACTTTGTTCTTGTTTTGTAGGAAGTGGAAACACCTGATGTGTGACACCTGCATAGCTAAAGTCAACACACTCTCACTTCTGCTTTTACAACACCAAACAATTCTTCTTCTTCTCACAACATGTGAGATATGAGAGAGAAAGAAACTGAGATACGTTATAAGTGGAACAAAATCCGGGTAAAAAAGCCCTTTTCTATAAACGCTACAAACAGCTGCCTTCCTCAAAAAAGCTTTACTGATACAAATTGAGTGCTATTCTTTTGAAAAACACTGGCTATAAAATCTTTCCATATTACAGAGACAGGGTCGAAATCAAACAGCCCGAAACGATAAAGTCAAACAGGCGTGCAGTAAATTCTCCTTCATGAGGGTGATTATGTTCAGTATTGAATATGAAATGTTCATTCATCTTCGTTCAGATAAATGGGTTGGACAGTATAAAACAAAGGAACAAAAAATAGGAAAATTGATCTGAAAATTCAGGGATTTGTTTCTCCACACAGAAGCAGAATATCTTTATCTTAAAGGGAAAACAAATCAGAGTAATTAAAAGTAAGTTCAGGCCGGAAACAGCCCCCTAGAAATGAAAAATAAACTCCAGCCTAACCAGGTTTAGGGTCTAAATGGACCAAAGTCTACCGCCGAGATATTTTTAAATAAGGATACTATTTGTTTGAATAAAATTGGATGGAAACACGAGGGGACAGCTAGGAATTAAGACGAGGTATAACACTCTGGGATGTTAGCCATAAGCCTCTCTCTCTCTCTCTCTCTCTCTCTCTCTCTCTCTCTCTCTCTCTCTCTCTCTCTCTCTCTCTCTCTCTCTCCGTCTCTCTTCTTCTCTCTGCTGTAAATCGATGTGAAAGCCATCGTGTCTTGTTCTGCTTGGCTGTGCAATAATGGCGCCGGTGAAGAGGAACGACCTGCCGGGCTCTTCTCACCTCCAAACCCCCCAACTACAGCTGAGCGCTGCATCACAAACACTCAGCAGCATCATCAACAACAACAATAATAAAACCCACCTCATAACATTTAAATCCAAAGATCATAAGTCTTCTGTCCAGCCTTAAGGATAAACTCGGCCTATGAGGCGACATAATTGCCCTTTCTCTTTAGGAATTTCTCCTGCTGTATTAGTAAGACAATAAGGAACGTTCAGTAGATATTTCCCTCAGGATAAAAAGAATAAATGTAATCTAATCTTAAAGTTTTATGATGGATTCTCAAAGTACTGAAAGCTGAATAGAAAGACTTTGTCTCTGGTCTCAGACACACAAGTTAAAGAAGACATATAATTCTAATTTTCAGGTTCATATTATTATCTTGTTCCTCTACTGTGTCTCCATGCTTTAATGTTCAAAAAGCTCTTTACTTTTCTCATCCTGCCTGTGCTGCAGCACCTCTTTTCACCCTCTGTCTGAAACCAGAGCCCAGTCTGCTCTGATTGGTTAGCTGGCCGGCTCTGTTGTGATTGGTCGCTTCGAGATGTCCCGTCACGTACAATGTGTCTGAGTGATGTCACTATGTTCAATGGAGGTGTTTCAGGCAGGATGTTAGCCTTTGCAGACCATTTACATGCACACAAACCTATATAACACACTACAGGAAAGGGTAAACCCCAAAAAGCACAAAAGGTCCTCTCTAAGAGCTGCATGAGAAACAGCTTGTTGGAAGGAGAAGACAATCACAGGTTGAAACTGTGTGATGTATGACTGGATTTAATTCTCCACACTGGCTGAATGTTAAGACAGAAAACTGCTTCGTGACAGGAGAATTTCACCCAGACAAACAGAGTCTTCAAAAGGTTTGAATGGATGAAATTGTTCAGACAGGATATTTTATCTAAAGAGGTCAGCCCTCTTGTTGAATTCTTTGAAGTGCCTATTGTGAAAAGCAAGAATTTTGCTGTCAGAGAGGTGCTGTTCAAGCGTGACAGTGGTGCTCTTCAATAGTTCCCCTACTTTTTGATTTGACAATAACTTTTATTGCAAGTCATACAGACAAACAAATAACTCCTATAAAAATGGTTTAACTCACAGGGACAACAAGACTAAAGGAAGTCACCCGCCAATACGTGTGTTTTCATACAGAGTAGACAAAGGAGATATAACATATTAAGTAGGATTTTGCTACCTTTGGTCAAAACCCGGCTAGCTGAATTCCTCAGTTTTATGCTAAGCTAAGTTAACCTACTGCTGGTCTTAGCTTATGCAGCTGAAAAGACAGATATTTCCTTCAGGAGCTGATGGAGACCACAAACAGAGCTAAAAGAGAGTGAAAAACTGGACTTAATTTAATCAGGTGGACACACACCACTCCTAATGAACGATTGTGTGATTTGTAACTGCTGTAAATGGATATAAGTTCAAAATACCATCTAAAAAGGTGATGATATCTTGATTTTGTGTTTACTACTTGCTCATCAGTATTTAGTAGTTTACACTGAGTCCCTGCAGGCTGTAGAGTTTGTGTTTTGACATTTGAATGCAGCACGGAGAGTCTGTGAGAGTTAGAGCAGCAGTGGGATGCTTTGTGTTTATATCAGAAGCAACAGAGCAGCGGTTGTTGAACATTAGCAGTTCTCTCACATTCTGCGTTCCTCTGTTCTCATCACCCCTGAGAGGGAGAACCGTCCGACTGCTTCACCCACACTATCCAATTTCAGCAGGTCAGGAGCTCCCTGATTGGCTCAGGGCTCAACATACTGATGACATCGCTAAGGGGGAAAACCTCGCCGTCGCCGCCTCTCGCCGTTGCAGCAAGATAAAGATACTGAGACTCAGCAGAGGTCACATGTAGCTGACGCTCCTCACACACCGTTATTGTACGTTCACGTCTTTTATCTGAACACACAGCCATTTACAACCCATCAGCTCTAACATAACCTTCACACCTGGAGTGACGATGTTAAATGGCTGATGTAGCTTCAGAATAAAGGACTAGACCAATGATTTATATGTTGGAGCAGTAGTTCTCCACCTGTTCTGTCTGACGGATCCTCACAGCAGTAATAGTTACCCTCCATCAAATGCAGCTGGTCTTCAAACAAGCATATTAACCTGCCTATGCAGAGAAATATTTTTACTTAATAAGGTTTTCTTAAATGAAAGCCCTTTACACACATTTTTAAAGCATTTTATTCATGCTTTTATATGCATTTTTAAACATGTTTTGGAACTTTTTGTGAATATGCAGAATTCAAGTTTTACGTGATAAAAAGCGATGTTAATTTTCAAGGAACAGAGTAGATTTATGTTGCGTTTTTTTGCACGAGGAAGAAATGCACAAACTGGTTGAGTTCTGCCAATATTGAATATAATACAACACGCCCAAAATCTCAGGGGTCTGAACCGAGACAGCTTACGTATTACTCCCTTTAACTTAACAAAGGCACAGCAGACTACAACCACTCCTCCAGTTTTCTCCTTTGTCAGATAAAAGGCCTGGACATATTCAAGTATATTCGCTGGGGAGTAATTTGCCCCCATTGTGTGAAAGCCTAATTACATTACATTGCATTTAGCTGACCATTTTATCCAAAGCGACTTACAATAAGTGCATTCGACCAAGAAGATACAAACTTGAAGAAAACAGAATCATATAAGTACATTAGGTTTCATAGAGCCACAACATTTTAAGTGCTACTCAACTGGCTTTAGATAAGCCAGTCCTTTGTTAGTATAGAAGTGCTTTGTTAGTATACAAGTGCTTTGTTAGTATGTAATGGCGCGTTTCCACTACAGCGCGGAGCCCGGTTTAAGAGGGCTGTGACGTCAGCGGGCCGTCTTTGGTTGCGTTTCCACTTAGGCCTAGTACCGGCCGGCGGGTCCGAATTCACAGTTTTTCTGGCCTCATAAAATCGTGGGTCTAGGGCCAGAGACAACGAGGCTGAGTCGGGTATGCTAAACTAGAGAGAGAATCGCTGGCAAGGGGGCTACAACTACAACAAGATGGACATATTTGACCGTGATTTAATTGTAATACACGTTTCAAAATGATGCCGAAGTAACAACATACTGATACCGGTTAGTAAAAACCATGAATTAATGCTTTGACAAGTCTGCAGACAGACGGCAGGCGAAAAACCATTTAAAATGCGTGTTTTCTAAATGGAGATTGGCTAAGCTAACGCAGTATATGCTCCGACCGTCCACACTCACAACAACGGCCTATACAGACATAAATAAAGCAGCGACTGTACTCGCCATGACACAGGCAGTCTGTGGTTTGTACTTGTTTAACTTTTGTCTAGTTTCTGAACATATATGAGGAGCTGTGAGCTCTGAGTGCTAACAGCTAACGGCTGTGTTGTTTTTCTGGGGTTCTCATTGAAGATGACGTCACGGCTCCGCCTACACTGCGTTACTATAGATACTACCCCAGTTCCTAAACTGTAATGGAAATGCGCCATAAAGTGAGCCAGTCCTAACGAGGCCTAGCCATACCGAGCGAGGCCGAGCGAGGCCGTGTAGTGGAAACGCGCCATATGTGCTTAGTTAGTTCCTAATGTCAGTATGTCCAGCTCCATGAAGTCTTAACAGAATCATTTAAGTGCAGCAAGCCAATAATACTAAATACTTTGGGATTGAATGATTGAGTTATTATTGTTTATAGATACCAAAACTCCCCACAGGCAGAACCTATACACTATCCAGAATAACTGGGTTTTGAATTTATGACTTTGAAGTTTTGAGTTAAACTCTGGTAGATTGGTAGGCCCACTGCTTTGTTCTATCTAGACAAATATATCTTATCAGCTATGAAATGGATTAGCATGGCATTTGGTTAATTTCATCACCTTTTCAGGCCACACACTTCTTTGGGACTTCTGTTTGGAGGTTGAGTCCCATCTCTCCTCAATCCAAGATCTAAATGGTCACAGAAGTCCTTCCTGTAACATTTTGATCATTTCTTTTGATCATTTCCTGTCTTTTCACAGATCGTCTTCCGGAAGATCAGTGATGTGAAACGTGAGGAGGAGGAGATGTTGAAGAGGAAGAACGAGGCTCCTCTGAACCTCCCTCCTGATCATCCGGTGCGACGCCTCTTCCAGCGTTTCCGTCAGCAGAGGGAGGCGCGGCTGGCCATGGAGCAGGGGGATCAGGTGGTCGGCGATGTGGAGAAAGGAGTCGTTTCCCTGGCAAAGCCTCGAGGTCCGGTGGTCCTGGCCTCCACCAGTATAGTCATGTTGACGGAGAGCCCAGCGACCCCCACCACCTCCTCAACATCCCTCGCTTCCTCTTCATCCAGAACCTCCAGTCGAGTCATGCTCCACACTCCCGCCGCCCAGAACGGAAACATAATCGGCTGTAAATCTGCAGAGCCAACCAAAGCGAAAGGCTGGGGACGATTCAAAGAGTCGGTCGCCAAGGCCGAGTCGTGGAGCAGTGTCTCTAAAGCCGAGTCCATGGAGACGCTGCCCGACAGAACTAAGTCTCAGGACCAGTTGTCCCTGAAGAAAACAGACTCCTGTGACAGCGGCATCACGAAGAGCGACCTCCGATTGGACAATGCGGACGATGTCAGAACGCCGCAGGAGCAAAGTCCAGTCCAGGCTGAGGAAAAGAGGGTCTTCTGTCCGATACCGGAGCAGAGCATCCAAGCCCCTTTCCTGGAGCTGAAGCAGGAGTTAAGAGGCGACATCAGATCTTTGAACAGTCGCATGGCGGGGCTGGAGACTCAGCTGGCGGAGATGTTGCGACTCCTCAAGTCCAGGAAGTCGTCCGGTTCCTTCTTTGAGATCTCGCGGCCTCCTTCCCCTGACTCAGATAAGGATAGCTATTCCTAAACTGGACTAGAGTCCGTTGCAGAGAAGAGCTTCTGACTGAAGTGTGAGGCTGTGCTGATGGTGGGCAACGATGCTATCACACAAAAGCACTTTATGCGTTCGTAGCATTACTCGGCGAGATGACAATGACGTCAAACTGGAATGAGGATTGCTGATTTAACTTTGATCAAAGACTAACGGAAGAGTCATGATGGCACCTTTTGTCCTCAGGAGGGTTTACACCTTCATATGATTATGGCAATAATAAGAGATGGCTTTAACATTGTTGTTTTGAACAGGACTTTGGCACTGTGATGATGGAAACCGTGTTTTAAAAGCTTATTTGGTTGCTTGGAGGTCTGGTCCACAAAGTCTGTTTAGTTTTTTAGCATTTTAAGAAAGTTAACACACTTCAAAATGAAAGGGGTGCATTCAAAGACAATCAAGTAGACATATCTCTGTGATTAAAGTGGGACATATGGGTCCAAAACATGGAAAACTGACAAAAAGAAGATTATGATACATTAGCTGCTTTCACACCAAAGTACTTTGCCGTACTTAGTTCCCAGTACTTAGTCCCGCCGAACTCTTTAGTCCCGTAACTGTCCTAGTAAATCGCGTTCACACCGGAATAAGTCCCTGAGGGAAGGATTAGGCAAATGAAGCCGCTGACGTCACTTCTTCTTCTTCTGCTTTAGGTTTACTGGCAGGCCGCAAACAACTTCACGGCGTATACTGCCACCCAAAGTCTTCGGGACTTCGGGTGGCAGTAAATCGCCACCCGAAGCCTTCCGAGTAAATCGCCAGAAGCGCCGACACCTCCTCATCACTCCACCGCTCCCACGATTTATTTCGTGTTGCCATAAGTTAGTCTCTCTCCGTTGGTGTGCTGGGCTAATGCTAATGCTAATAAGGCTAATGCGAGCAAATAAAATGGCGGCTTCACAAAACTTTTTGGGAGTTTTATGGGCCGTGGTTTGCAATCCGCCCAGCCAATCAGAAATGGGAACCTTTTTTTCCCAGGAAAGTACCTGCTCTCTAGCAGGAACTAAAAAGGGGGGAAAAGGTTCTCATGAACTAAGTTCTAGTTCCGGATTTTTTTGGTGTGAACACAAAATGTCAAAAACTCAGAACTATACTGGGAAAAGTACTCTGGTGTGAAAGCGCCTGTTGTGGATCAGACATTGTTTTGGTTTGGGGGGATTTATTACAGTTAAAGGGGCAGAATGTCCCTATCTTCATGCAGACTAAACACTGTGTGAACAGATTTCAGTAAGAAGTATTTCATGTTTGAGACGGGTAGCGTTTTATATCTAGAATGAATGTGAAAACATTTGATGCAGCACAGTGACAATGAGACCCTACATGTGTCTAATGTTTAAATCCTGCACAGAGACGGACATTACTCATTAGTTTCTTTTTGTTTTTTTCATGTTGATTCACCTCTAAAAGGAGCTCAAGGGGTTAACACAATCAGATTCAAGTGTACTTTATTGTAAAAGCTTCTTTACTGTAACATTAAAATGCTTTAAGATAAGAGATTCAGCCTGCAAGTCAACACACTGGAGATAATAGTACAAATGATACACAATTATAATAAGCCCTTCAATTATTATGACCAGTTTCCAGATTGACAGAGCGGTCAATAACAAACCTGAAGTGCAGATTTCCGTCACATTTATATTGTTCTTTCCTTCTTTTCTATCATTCCCTTCTATGTGGTCAAAGCTTCACTTGAGCACCACAACACCTGTGTGTATAAGCTTTAGTTGTAGTTGTCTCTCACAGGATGAAAAGTGTTTGTGTTTCCTGCTCGTCATCGACATCTGGAGACTGAAAAATGACAGATTTTGGCCAAAAAGGATCAAGCTGAGGTAGCGACTATCATGCCTGAGAGACCTGTCCATCAAGGTAAACATATTTAAATCTTAACATTTACTTTAAGGCACGTTCATTATGAAATTAGAAAAATTAAGTTATCTTAAAGTGGACCTATCATGCTATAAGGCATATATATCCTTTTTTTTTTCAAAATACCAAACAGATCATGCATTTTAGCCATGCCTCATTTTGCTCAATTTGATATTTTTTAGCTCTGTGTTTGTAAGTGCAGATAAGGGCAGAACACCACCATCTACTGGCCTGGCATATGTACTACAGCGTCTCCAGCGCTTTCGAACGGCAATGGCCGTGTCTGTCTCCTCCTGATTGGTGGAGTTGGCCCAATAGCCGTAGCGCCACCGTCCTGACGTCAGGACAGTGTTCAAATCTGGATCAGTTTTTATCAGATCCGTTGCAGCCCCTTTTTTAGAGATTTGGGTATGGAGGAAAATAGAGAGGGTTGTGTTTTCTGACACTTGGTGAGTTCCCTGGAACACCAGGGACACATATTCATGTATAAAAGACGTACAAAAGTGCATTTTGCATGATAGGTCCCCTTTAAGAAAATAACCTTTTGGTCGAGAACGTTTGAGGTTTTCCAATTTACTTAAATACAATTGGTGTTTCTCAGCAAGTGTCTAAGTGGACTCATTTAAGATCTCAACCAAAAACTAACGTAAACATTGACGTTTGTGTTCAGTGAAAGTTATCAGGTCAATTCACTTAAAACGTTTCACCCCCTTATCTATTCTTGACATGATGCAATTGCAAATTTAATCCAATCATTTTGATAATGTAGAATGAATCCTGTATAAAATGTTCTGCAACGTTAAGTTGAGTATCATTTGCATACATGATGATAAACTAGAAGTTACCTTATCCACAGATTCTGAATCCAATATGTTTTTCCTAACTGGAGGAAATGTAAGCTGTCATTATGTCGCCACCTGAGAAGAGAGAGGATGTGCGTTTGTTTGTCTCTGGTATCTCGTATTTCCTGTGTAGGTGTAATTATAATATAGCGTCATAATATGCAATGATTGCCTATGTATGCTGTTTGGACTGAGAAACTGGTTGTTGTTTGTGGTACTTTGCGTATCTCACGTTGTCCCACGAGCACCGCCGGTATCGGCACTGATGCACTTTGGTCTTTTCTGCATGACGCTATTGTCTAAAACTTTTTGTTAAAATAAGACAAAAAACCAAGATGTCTTTGCCTTGGTACTTCAGTATCTTGGAGGACTTTTGTTCTCACTAAACATCGATACTGCTGTCGGTCCCTTGTATGTAACGGCCACAGTCTGTGCATGAAAAGCGCTTTAATGTTCAAATGTCTTTATCAATGTCACGTATGCACTGTGCTGACAACTCACAATGTGAAGGGAACCGCTTGAGGGAAAACTGTGTAGTTACCACAGATATATATTCTTATTTCTGTTCGTCACTGTCAGGAAGGAAAACTGTATCATCAGCACAAAGAGTATTTCTAAGAAAATCACATCAAATGTTAACAATAAATTATTTCATACTTTGTACTTTTTCTATCTTTGTTTGCTGTATTCTGTTTGTCCGTTATAAAAGCACATCTGGCTTCTCGTTTAGACATCAAATCAAACATCAAAACCACTTTCTTTGAACGATACAACACAATTCGTAACACCTAAAAAAACAGTACAAGTTAAGGCCGTTAAAGCTACTTCGTTAAATTCATAGTCATTATTTAAAAAAAGCAAAACACCTGTTGTTGGTAGAGATAGGACACGGTGTTTTGTGTCAAAGACAGGCGCTTTGTCCCACAACCATCCACCTCAAATTCCCCCCAAAACAGAAAACACACGTTAAAGGACATTATTGAATAATCCAAGTATTAAGTGTCAAAGACAACAAATACAAATGATAGAAGTAATGGACAAAAACATATATAAATATAAATACATCTACATCCAATAATCCGACATGTGAATTTGCCATTTCCATAATCCTGTCTCATTTTTCACAATAACTCTCCAAGGTCACAGCTGGTTAGTTCCCAAATTGATGAAGGAATATTCTTTATATTCTATAAAAGGTATCATGTGTTGAGAGTTAAGTCCGTTTCATCTCGTCTGTTTTTCATCTGCATGTCATTTTGTATCAGAACTCGTGTCGCTGCTTCTCTTTCTGGATCTTTTCCAAGCCGTCAGGGAATCCCTGAATTTCCCCCTCTCTGCAGAGCTGGCAGATCCCTCTACACCTCCCTCACTCCCTTCCTCTACACCTCCCTCCCTCCTCTCTCCTCCCTCCTCTCCTCTCTCCTTCCCTCCCTCCTCTCTCTCTCCACCTCCCTCCTTCCCTCCCTCCCTCCCTCCCTCTCTCCTCCCTCCCTCCCGCCTCTCCTCCCTCTCTCCTACCTCCTCTCCTTCCTCCTCCTCATTTGATGTTCTGCATTGCAGTGCCAGCCCTCCTCCCTCCCCCTCCTCTCCTCTCCTCCTCCTCCAGGTTGATCTCTGCAGCAGTGAACAAACAGCAGGGCTATATCCTCTCAGCCTGACACTAAACATGCCTGCACAGCCTCTTCCTCCTCTTCCTCCTCTTCCTCTGCATCTCTCTGTGTTTTCTTGAAGCCACAGCGCCCTCTACAGAGCAGACACACACATCACAGTCTGCTGAAGGATTTATCTTAAGTTTTTTTTTAATGAATAAATGAAGAAACACAAACATACTGCGTGTCATTAGGTGTCAGAATGAACAGTAGCCAAGTGTAGAAGAAGCTATATCATCATGTTTCGGAAAGAAAACTGTAAATAATTTTAAATGATCTTGACTTTTGAAATACATACATATAGTCATTTAAACCCGTCTCTATTTGTGAACACTGCTCCAGTTTCTGCACCTATCTGCAGATCATGTAAGTCCTGTGCTACACTTTGTTGATCTATTATTTTAAAGTAACAGTTGTTACATTACATGTCACTTGTTAGAGGCTTTTATCCAAAGCGACTTACATACTCAATACTGTGGACAATCCCCACAGGAGCTATTTGGGGTGAAGTGTCTTGGGGACACAACGACATGCTGACTGCAGTGGGATTCGAACTTGCTATCATCTGATTCGAAGATCAGCGCACTAATCCACAGCTTCCCTTGTTAATACAGATTATAATAACTAAACATGATATTAATTTTTGAATATTATATATTTAAAAATTACACCCTTAACAGAATGTAGACCATCCTGACGTACAAATATCTCTCAGTTGACCAACATAATAGTTGCATATTATTATTACATATTGCATAGTACTACTATTACCATAATGCTACTGTACTATTGCCACTACTACTCATATTCCTAGATAACGATTACTTGTGTACATTTACTTCTGGTACAGTAGGCTGCTTTAACTTCATAAAGCTGATAATACTTATCAAATACTTTACTTTAAGTCAGCGGTTATAAAGATTTTCTGTATTCTCCCTGCGGAAAAATGTATCTTTCGCCTTCAATATTCATAACTTATTTATTGATTACATTTTATATCAGTCGGCTGAACCTGTAAATTCACAAGTAAGTGAAGTGAACACAATTAATTAGTTAAATCATTTACTAACTACTGTAACATATTAGTGGACTACACTAAAGTACAATAGTTTAGTTAATTAGAAGAAAGTGAAAAAATGAAATTCTCTCAAAATGGTACTGTTTTTAAATACCTTACTGTAGGTATTTAAACTACAAGTTATTAGTATTGTCACTTTATTGATTCATTCT